ATTTTTGGGACAGAGAGAGACAGAGCATGAATGGGGGAGAGGCAGAGAGAGAGGGAGACACAGAATCAGAAACAGGCTCCAGGCTCTGAGCCATCAGCCCAGAGCCTGACGCGGGGCTCGAACTCACGGACCGCAAGATCGTGACCTGGCTGAAGTCGGACGCTTAACCGACTGCGCCACCCAGGCGCCCCTCCTGTTGAGAATTTCTAAAGTCACTTTAGTCTGTCTCTTGCTTAACTATATAATTTAAATGATGGAAATCTTCCCATTTATGCAGACATATCAGTGGCATCCAGCATCATGGTTATTAAATTATAGAACACAGGTTATTTTCTGGTCTTCAGAGTTCTACTTCTCTTCCTCCAGGACCATTTTTGGGAGGTCCTTTCTCAAAAGTTTCTCTATCCGTTTCAGAAGATGGAAAAGCTCGAACAGCTCACACCCCCGTGCGCATGCTCCTCCAGGGGTCATCGATGCTCCCCAGGCCCCGCCCCACCGTGCAGCCCCCTTTGGTGCTCGAGGGCTTACCGTGCCTTTGCTGATGATAAAGAACGTGTCCCCTCTGGCACCTTGCCTGATGATATACTCCCCATTCTCATAGTGGGTCTGCAAAACAGAAACAGTAACAGAAAAAAAACATGAAGGAGGGAGTAATATCACAAACAGCTCAACCTCTTCAGATGTCAGCTCTGCAGGGATGCATTCACCCTGATGGAATTTTCCCCAAGCCAAGAATCGATCAGGATTTAAGAGTAACAGTGAATGAGCACAACAATCACAAAGAAATCAGGTTTACCATGCTTGCGTTTAAAACTGTTTCGTGAATGCCATCTTTCTGGGTGATTATATTCCGATCTTTAAATCCATTCATTTTAATAGTTTGATAAAAATATTCTCTCTCCCATCGACTGAGCATGAAATAAAACAGCAGAGCTGCTAATTAAACTGGTCTTTTTATTTTGTCATTCTCGTTTGGGTTTTAGTATTTTAGTATTTTTATGATGATACCCTCCCTTCCCCTGCCCCCGCTTTTTTTGAATAAATTACTGTGGCATCTAAAGATCTTCATTTGGAAACCAGATTGATTTTCACTGTGGGTTACATGGTCTTAGGGTGAGTCTGAAGGCACTGCCTCATGCTTTCACGCCCTTGCTTCGGTCATTTAGATTCGGCCCCTGTCAAACGGAATGTCTTCATTTTATGGACTGAATTCTGGTCCAGCATCTGGGAGCTCATCAGCCAGCAAATGAAGAGCAAAGTAAGGCTGCAAAAGGGTCATCACTCAGTGTGTCAGAGCTCAGATTTGGACGCAGTCACTAGGTCCGTTCCCAGGGTGAAGATTACTCCTGCCATGAACAAAAGTAATTTCTATAAGGCGAGGTGGGAAAAAGTATATTGCTGGGTCAGGAGCTATAACAGAAAAATGACACTGTGCCATCTGGCGACACTCCTCTCTGCGGCTCAGCAAGGGAGCCGTATTTGGGGAAAGAAAACGTACTTTATGCACTCCCTAGGAAACAGATTTCATGGCTTACATGGGGTATCCATCAGGCCAACGACTGTGATTTGTCCTTATGTACTTCACTATCATGTTCCTTAATGCTACTGTCTATTCACTCTTTTTTTAATGTTTATTTATTCTGAGAGAGAGAGAGAGACTGCTAATGCACAGTGGGGGAGGGGCATAGAGAGAGGGAGAGACAGAATCGCAAGCAGGCTCTGTGCTGGCAGCCCGGAGCCGGAGGTGGGGCTCGAACTCACAAAACCACGAGATCCTGACCTGAGCCAAGACCAAGAGTCAGACACTTAACCAACTGAGCCACCCAGGCATCCACTCTTACAACTGCCTTTTGTTAGTACCTGACCGTGAGAACAGCCATAACTTCTTTCATATATCTAGAAAATTAACGTATTACTTAATTTTCCTTTTTTTTTCTTTTTACTCGTAACAAGTTATAAAAATAGGATTATAGAGTGCATATTCTTCAACTGATTTACTTCATGTAAGAAGCTACCCACGCTCCACTGTCACGACTTGTTGTTTGGGAAAGAAAAGGTCTTTACGACATGCAGATTTTGAAAAAAAATGCCTCGATCTCACCAACATATCTAAGCGCCTCCGAGTCAGGCCCGGTTCCAGGCACTGATGATACAAAGAAGGGTAGGACAAAAATCTCAGAGTAGTAACCATCCACTGAATGTTTATCCTATGGTGCAACATTCTACAGGCACACAGTCCAATACAGTAGCCTCTGGCCACATGCGGCCACTGAGCAGTGACATGTGGCCAGTGTGTCTGAGAAACTGAATGTTTTTGTGTATTTCATTGCCTAGATTTTTATCCTTAGTAACAGCGATGTTACATTATGTTCCATTTATCTTCCTCTTTGTCGTATTTCTCACTTGCTTCCTAATCTGAAACCTCTTGAAACCCCCCCAAACAAGCCAGGGTGCAAACGCCATACTCCATGTTGGTAGGGTTTGGGTCCGGTCTGTTGTCCAGCCTCACACTTTCCCCAGGCTTCCCCATGGAGAAGGTTCTTGAGCCCCAACAGTAGTATGAGGATAAGTCACCGCTGTCGAGCAGGACAAAGTCTCTCCGAAAAGAAGAGAATTTGCAGCTTACAAGAGACCACGTAATGGTAGCAGAAACGCTGTTATTTTGGAAAAGGTAGAAAAATGCAAATAAAAAGCACCAAAACTGGAAGAAACTTTAGCTCATCTGAGCTCATTTTTACTTATCTCCTTAACAGCACATTCCTCCCCATGTGACTGTCCTTTCCTTTCAGAAAGCCACAGTGACTTATACTGTATTACCCTACATATCTAAGTGCGAAGGTAAGACTTTCTCAGGGACAACACCACTGCCATCTTGACGCAGATAATCCTTTGCGGGTGGGAGCTGCCCTGGCCAGCTGTTGGGTCTCTAGCAGTCACTGTCAGCTCTATCCCCTGGATTCCTGAGCTGCTTTAAATCCCGAAAGTGAACCGTGTGGCAACCAACAATGTCACAAGACATTGCCAATTACCCTGGGTGGGGGGGAGGGGTGGTGGGGTGTGCAAAACTGTGCCCGGTTGAGAATGTGTGAGCTAAATCTTTTATGGTTTTCTGGACCTGAAACGGCAATTTATGATGTCTCTTGGTAGTGTGTGTGAACCAGATCATTCTTTGGCTTCCCTCAGTGTCGGCTTGGATCCCTGCAAGGTCTAAGGCCTCACGCTTGTGGTGAGCATTTGGAGCCGGTCACTAGCTGGGGGCACGCCTCTGACTGTCAGCTTCTGCCCTGGCCCACGCAGGCCTCTCTGGGGGGAATGCCTAGTCTCCTCCACAGCATGGTGATCTGGGGGAGAGTTCCTTTCTTCTATGGTGGCTGGCTTCCAAGGGCGCAAAAGCAGAAGGTGCCAGGCTTTCCCAAGGCCCAGCCTGGGAACAGGTCCTGTATCACTTGTGCTACACTCAGAGGGTTCAAGCAGGCCCCAGATGCAAGAGGAGGGGGCTGCACAGAGGTATGAACCTTAGGAGATGGGGTGTATCAGGGCTGCTGAAACACAGTCTCCCACAGACCTCACGCTTCACATGCATGAGACGGAGCTCCCCACCTTCTCCCAGCCCTGCCTCTCCATGACTTTTCTCCATCATTGATGACAAGCACCTTTCCTGGTACTTGTCCAATCATCTTGGAGTCCCGTTTGACTCTTCCGTCTTGTAGGCCCACAACTACTCTGTTAATACGCCCACGCTCTCCACCTTCAGATTACACCCAGAACTCAGTGACTCTTCAGTGTGCTTTTCCAGTCGCCATGTTCTCCTGCCCTGTCACCTCCTAACTGGGATATCCACTCCTACCCGACCCCTTGGTCCCCCTTCTTACCTAGCAGCCAGGCGATGCTGTTAACACACAGTCAGCCCATCTGCCCCCATGTGCACGGGGCCCCACAGAAGCTGCAAGGTACTAACGGCTTCTGCTCCTTTCCTTCGCTGGCCCCACCACCCACCTCCCTCCCTCGCACTATGCCTGCTCTATTCACACCACTTTTCTTGCTGTTCCTTGAACACTCGGGCCCATCTCAGCGCCTCTGTGTAGGCTCTGTCCTCTGCCTGAGATGCCCCTCCACACCGCATAGCTCAGAAGGAGCTATCTCAGGAGAGGAAGGTTAGCAGAGGGCTGATGGACAGAAGCGAGGGCATCAAGGCATGCTGAAGGTAAAGTAAACCGAGAGCTGGAACCAATCCTTCTGATAAAGAAGGATCCACCGGCAGCCCCAGAGAGACTGCCCTCTCTCTTCTCTACCCTTTGGTATCCCGCTGGGGCTCCCTGTTGGCTGGGGTCAGCTGGAAGTCAGGAGACAGTGGAGCCCTCCCAAGTCAAATCAGCCTCTGGACAGACGGAAGGACCCAGGAAAAGTGAAAAGTAGGCCTGTGGGCAAGCAGAAGGCATCAGCCCCACGTTTACCATATCAGTCTCTTCTGAACCACCTTTTCCTCTAGAATGTCAGCTCCACAAAGGAATTTGTGTTTTCCCTGCTGTTCCCCCTTGCACCTAGAAGACCACCTGGGTGTTCGCTCAATACTTATCAAGTAAATGGCTTACACGGTAAGGACGCTTTGTGCCCCACACAGCGAGGGCTCTTTCCCTTTTGCTGGTTTGCCCCCACCACACGGGTCCACTGCTCCAGGAACTGGGACGGGGTCAGAGCCAAGAGGGGCAGCCTCTCATCCCACAACTCCTTCTGGGGATGGAGGGCCAGAACCCTGGCAACCGTCCCCACGAGTCTCCTTTGAGCCACATGTCTGTTCTTAAATGAGTTCCCAACAAGACGAATGGGATTCCTCTAAACGGTTTTCATGACTCAACGTCACCCCATGGTGCTGACAAGAAAACCCTTCAAGTGGAAGCAAACTCCTAGCCATGGGAAAATGGGAAGGAGGGATTGCAGAGGAGCCCAAAGGGTGTCTGCTTCATGAAGCAACCCAAGCAGTCACTGCAAGGCCAGGACTGAGACGGGGGTGGGTGCAGAAGGGGGACGGGTAATGCTGAGACACTAGGCTGTGAGAAGAAAAGACTCAAGTCACACTAGTGGTCTTCAAATCCCCTCTGAACTGTGGTGAAGCAGAAGGAAGCAGCCTCCCCGGATGACCTTCTGGAGTGTGTGTGTGTGTGTGTGTGTGTGTGTGAGAGAGAGAGAGACAGAGAGAGACAGAGAGAGAGACAGAGAGAGAGAAGACAGAGAGAGAGAGAGAGAAAATGAAGGGGAAGAGATCAAGGGTCTCAGTGGGCACTTCAGTACAAGGAGGAAGTGGATAGAGGTCTAAGCATCTCCAAGGTGGAATGGGCCACCCAGTGGGCAGGGGCACCACGTACGGAGCACACGTCAGCAGAGATGGGGTGAGTGGTGGCCAAGCCACTGCAGAAGAGACTGAGGGCAGCGCCCAAGGATGCCTCAGGGTGAACTTCAGGGCATCTCCCAGCCTTGAGATGCTTCAATTCTCGGACAGGTTGTATTTCCCCAAGATGGCCACTGAATAGGTTCCAGGCCACAAGTTGCTCTGTGTGGTGCCTTTGCCATTCTCCCATCAAGAGCTGGAGCCTCACTTCCCTCCCCTT